GTTATACATATCACCTCATACGAATCTTTGCATCAGCACAAAAACTTGATTAAGTAGGTACGCGGAAACTAAATGTTTACATTATTTGTATTCAGCCTTGTAAGTCGGTTGAGATGTCACGTATATTAATATTCTGTATTTCTTAGCTTTGATACTTATATTAAGATTCTAGTCAAAAGTTTAGTCGCTCGCGACCAAGTTGATAAATGGCCTCTCGTCTGGAACGCCTACGAAATGTCATTTGCAAGAAAAAAAATATTAAGTTTACTTATAAAACTAGTGTCGCTCAATTATCATGTTTATTAAAGTTCAAAGTCAAAGTCAAAATCATTTATTTCGATTAGACCAGGAAGGAAGGCACTTTAGAACGTCAACAAAAAAAGTAATTAAAAAAAAAGTAAAGCTATTTGCTTATTCCAAGGTATAGATTCCGATGGAGAAGAACGAGCAAGAAACTCCATAGGTTACTCTTTTTCAATCGGGTTTACAATACAATTCTCTAGTTATATAGTTATTTTCCAGGAATTTAGAGACTTGTATTGGCGTGTCCCTATTATAATAGGCCACTTTTCCATCCCAGTTCATAAAATACTTATAAGGAACTCTTTCATTATTATAATTAGAAAACGATTTTAGATGCTGTAGTAAATTTTGATGTCATTCATTGCAAGATATGATTGTATGTTCAAGCAGGTCTCTTAAGAAGTAGACAGTGATTCACCTATTGTCTATTATTAAATATGTATGTTATAACTAGCTTCTGCCACCGGCTTTGCCCGAATTTCCGAGGAATAAAAAGTAGCCTATATATTTTAGACCATAATCTATCCCTGTTCCAAATTCCTTCTCGATCCTTTCAGCCGACGTGGTTGAGTTACAAACATAACACACAACACACGAACTCATAAATTTTCGCATTTATAATATTAGTACGACAAAGGATTAAATAATTATACTATCGCTTCTAATAAGGATAGAAACTTTTTTTAAGGGGGAAAATCATCGAATGTCTTCTCCCGCCTGGGTAAGGCAGGAGGGAGTGTCACTCTTACTGACTAAAAACCACCCCGTTCCTACTCCGGTACTTCGAGCCGGAGCCCCGGCACCCGTTAAGTCCTCCGAGTCTATTGTTGATATACGGGGCCCCGTGCTTCTGTCAAGAATTGAGGAAAACAAAAAAAAAACTGAAGATAGTTCGATTGACCAGGAAAAAACTAGTAAGCAGATGACTGCTTATTTGACGATAGACGATATTTTAGAACTTAGAAGACGATATCTTCGAAGAAACAATCATAAGTTCACACTTATTTTTTACTTTTCTTTTTTATTTTGAGTAAGGGAAAATCACCCCATGTCTGTTCCCTTGGGCGAGGTGGGAGGGAGTGTCAGACTCTTACTGACTAAAAACAACCCGTTCTTACTTCGGCTTGTAGCCAGATCCCTGGTAAAATTCACAGCAAAATATGTCTTAAATCGTACCGACTTGTACAAAAACGTAAATATTGCAAATATATCATTTTGTCACACAAAGCCTCGACACACTTATCACAGGATAGACCTTGGGGAATGTCCAAAAGCCGGCCGGTTTTAAGGCTAACTAGTAATAGAGGATGTCCAAGAATAGTCATATGTGTTTTAATTGGCTAACATTTGCTATATAGGAATTACTTTAAAATGATTTTTCTTTGGTAAAGATTGTGGGTTGCAAATGACATGTTCATTTCGTAATACATAGTACATCGCTTTTTGTAGATCTAATTTATTGCTTACTAGCTATTTCCGCGCGATTTCACACGCTTGCTCAGCTCCTATTAGTCGTAGCGTGATGTTTTAGCCTATAGCCATCCTCGATAAATGCGCTATCCAACACAATAAGAATTATTCAAATCAGACTTGCAGTTACGGAGATTAGCGCGTTCAAACAAACAAACAAAAAAACAAACTCTTCCGCTTTATAGTATAGTATTTATATAATAGTATAAGATTATTACACTTCTAAAAGCGTATTTTCTTTGCTGCCAAAAAAAGGTCCCAGTTTACTCAGTGTCATTGAGACAATAATATTTTTTTAAAAAAAATATATTTCTCAGTAGATAGCAACGCGAAGTAAAGATGGTGAACGGCAATAGAATCTCTCTTTGAAATTAAAACTTTGCAATAATAAAAATGAGTTACACTTACAATATCTTTGCCTATCTCTTCAGGTATAACACATCACGCCTTTTATCCTCGAAGGGGTAGGCAGAGGTGCACATTATATCACTGTGCAATGTAACATTGGTTTAAATAGTTTATTCTCAAAAAGACAAAGGAAGCCACTTACATGAGAATATAAGCTAACACAAAGTAAATAAACTAAATAAGGTCACCGATACAATCAATCAAAATACATTACAATAAAATTAATGATACTTGCTTAATATAAAGAACAAAATCAACAATAAATAGGTATAGTGCCATTTTACCTGTTCAACGGTTTTATTCTCAACCAGTAGGCTAGTGACTTGTTTCAATTATATATTTACTTAGTTGAGATTTAGAACCGCTGAAAGAGCTTACATTTTTTATGTGGGACGGTAAACTGTTATAAAATTTTGCTCCTTCGTATGTAATGTCTTTTTTGGCGTAATTTGTACGTGGTCTTGGTAGGACAAGTAAGCTAGGTCTACGAAGGCTGCGGTTACTGATTTGTGATTTTTTGGTAAATTTTACATTTGTGTGAATAGTTCCATTTATAATTTTTCTTATCAAAATACAAGTATTGTACATATAAAGCTACATCTATTTATGTTATGAGTCCCAAGTAATAGGGAGTGAGCCTATTGCCATATAGGTATCTATATAAATAAAAATGAGTTTCGGTTTGCTAGTCTCGCTAAAACTTGAGAATGGGTGAACCGATTTAGCTAATATTTGGTTTTGAAACGTTCGTGGAAGTCCAGGGAAGGTTTAAAGGGGTAGAAAAGATTATTTAGTCGGTACGAAGTTTGCCAGCTCTGCTAGTCACAATGGACTGGGATGCCGTCTCCTCCTTTTGCGAAGCGGTCATGCTAGCTAAGGAGGAGGCGGGACGCGTGAGTCAGCGCAGCGCTGCCTCCTCGCAACCCAGCCGTCGCGAAGGACACACCGGGCGTCGGGGATCGCGAGACGATCTCTGGCCACCGTAAGCGCGGGCCTGCGGACGGCGAGCATGGGTGGCTTCCCGTCCGACCTGAAACAGACCCGAGCGTACGGCGCGTCGCGTTCCGGCTTATTGGACGATTCGCACGAATTTAACTCGCACGAAACGTGCGAATTGACTCCTTTAAAACATATTATTTTTTCTGTAGTCGATTCGCACGAATTATATTTATTGGCGTGCGAATCGACACCCTCACAAATATGTAGTAGGCTATTCGCACACATTTCATTTTAAGGTTTAAAAAAATTAAAGTACAGTCGTATTCAGCCATCATTGAATTAAAAATAAAAAAATATGGAAGTTTAAACAGCAGATATTTACTTGACAGTGGTATTACAGTCTGGAGGTGCGTCAATAGACAACGTTGTAAAGCACTCTTACGTACAAATAATGATCTCCTGTTAACAAAAGAATAACCTCATTTATGCCAACCAAGCGTCATAAAAAATGAAATGAAGTATCAATTAGACAAATGCATTAAACGATCAGAGAAAGAGCTCACAACTATACCAAAAATGTATAGTGAAATGGTTTCGGACTTGCATAATGTTGGATGTGATCTCATACAAAAAGTTCCTGATTTTATAAATATTAAAAAAAGTCTCTATCGACACAAAAACATATCACTACAGATAAAACAATTGAGATTAAAAAAAGTTACAGATCTTATTATTCCTCCATGTTACGAAGATGTAAAGGTTGTTGGTTATGGATATAAGAAAACAATTACACTTTTTGCAAACCAAAATGTTACAAAGTATATTGAAACAGCAGAAAGCGTTTTCTGCGATGGGACGTTCAAAAGCTGCGTACCACTACCACCATTTTTGCAAGTATACACGTTACATATAGATATTGTTGATTATAGATTGTGTTTTGATTTTCTGTCTATTACGAGTCAAACATATTTGACTTTACTACTTCTGTGCTCAAGTGTACTTTATCTTAACTTCATTTCATAAAAAAACTATATGTGTGCGAATAGCCTACTACATATTTGTAAGGGTGTTGATTCGCACGCCAATAAATGTAATTCGTGCGAATCGACTACAGAAAAAATAATATGTTTTAAAGGAGTCGATTCGCACGTTTCGTGCGAGTTAAATTCGTGCGAATCGTCCAATAAGCCCGCGTTCCGCGCGCGCCTCAAAGAGCCATTAGACCACCACAGATGGGGCCCAATAGGGCCGATGCCGATTCGGAGTCGCGGAGAACCTAACGGGTAACCGGGGCTCCGGCTCGACGTGCAGGAGAAGGAACGGGGTTGTTTTTAGTCAGTAAGAGTCTGACACTCCCTCCCGCCTCACCCAGGCGGGAGCAGTCATTCGATGATTTGAAATTGAAATTGAAAAGTCACAATATAAATATTATGTGTAATACCTTAATACCTTAAGTTTAATTTTTGTATGCGATCATGACGTTCCCTTTTAGGAAAAACTCATAAAAAGAAAAAAAAACAAAAGATATGTAATAAGATGATTCTTTCACCAAACACTGGATACAGTTTCAAACTTCGTGCTATTTGCGTGACTAACGAGGCAATTTATAAGAATAATCTACACAAATGATCTAAATTCTACTTCAAATAAATTAAAACTCAAATATCTAAAACAAAGAACATCAAGGAGAAGAAACCAAGTGGAAAATCCTTTAAATTAATATAAATTTTAAACTAGAATATTTTATGCTCAAATACATTATAAACTCTATTACGTAGGCCTAGGAGTGATTTTCTATAAACAGCTCACCGAAGGTAATCAAGACGCAAAGTTGCGCAGGAGTGGACGATTCCAATTTCAAGTTCAGTGTTATGCCAACGTCCAAACAGAACGGACGTGCGAGCTCAGTTGGATTAATTGCGGATTTTATTTGTTGAATTAAATAAATCAATTCAAGAGGTTTTTTCTGTGAATAGTGTTGTGTTGTGCAATTATTTGGATTTCTGTTATTTTGCTTGTTTGTTGTGTGGAAGGAGTTTACGATTTTTATGTGAGTTTTGTTTTTTTTTATATTAGTAGTTAGGAGTTTATTAGGATATAAGACATAATTTTATTATAAGGTTAATGAATAGCATTATGAATGGTGAACCTTCTATTAATATGTGACTATCAGGTTTGAAACCACAATAGCTACTATTTCTAGTATATGTTTTATAGTTTAATTATTAAATAATAATTGGTCATTTGGACAAATTACCGTGTTTTACCGCAGATTCCTTAATGATGATCGCTTACACAATTATTATTACATTACATTGAATTTTACGACATTTTTTACACAATAACCCTGACTAATTTACTCATATTTTTAAATAATATTTCCTCAAGAAAAAAAAAAGACGATCTTTAAGATTCTTCAAATGATCATTTAATAGTTTTTCGAAAGACAATCAGCTATTATTGCATTAGTGTGTCGATGCTGAGATTCGAACGTGTGACCTTTGCGTTATTGCGACTGAACTGATCCGTTTGGTCGTTCGATTATGACATAAATTAATATGTAATTATCTCACTGATATGGATTTGACTAATGGCGTGGGTAAGGCTAACGGAAAATTATGAAGTACTTCTTTTGTTGTGTTGAAATGTAACACCCTTGTCATTTATTGTGAAGTCCCAGGTTAGTAACGGGTAGACGAATAGCTATCCTAGTTCAAATTCAGTTCTAAACTCTTAACAATTCCTAATAATTTATCCCATCTCTGGCATCGAACCTGAAACTGAATGGTCAACGGGAATAATAATAATTGAAACTATACCAGTAGGCTGCACGACATCGCATCACCGAGACCGCGCACGGTGCTCATGAGGAAGAGTCCCTCTGTGGCTCGAAACTAGTAGAGCTTTTCTCAGTATAATCACGCGATTTTTAGTTAATTCAATATGTCTTATGATAGTTATTATAAAAGCAATTGGAACTATATATCAACGTGTGATTAGAGAAAATTAAAAAAAAATTGCCTATGTAAATCGCATACATAAGAATTTTTGCTGTATATGACAATTTAGAACCTTAGTTTCTAGTCGACTGTAATGGTGTCTTAGTATTCCTTTCTGTTAAATTAAAAGGTGATTTATTATTCTACCTCTATGTATAGCAAATGTAACAGATAAACAAAATTGGAGTTTCTGTTTGTAATATTAACCATAAAATAATATCACGCCTTTTATCCCCGAAGTGTTAGGCAGAGGTGCACATTATAGCACTGTACAATGTAACACCCACTTTTCACTATTTATGTTACGAGTCCCATGTAATAGGGGGTGAGGCTATTGCCATAATATATATACCGGTCGCATCGCTAGGGCACATTTCCAGACTCCGTGCTACTACTGAGATATTTTTAAAAACCCAATAATACTTTGCCCGATCCGGGAATTGAACCCGAGACCCATTGCCCGGCAGTCGCATTTGCGACCACTCGGCCAACGTGGCAGTCATGATGTTTAGTACCTACAATCCTACATGCATATGAATATGTATTTTACAAAATATATGTATTTTTTTATTTTTGTCTGTCGTCTATCTGTTTGTACTGGCTAATCTCTGGTATGGCTGGACCGATTTCGCAAGACTTTTATTGGTAGGTAGCTGATGTCCTAAGGAGTACCATAGGCTACTTTTATTTGGGGAACAATGAAACAAAAGAAAGTCGTGTTCTAAGATTCATATTATACGCGGACGAAGTCGCGGGTAACTTAATCGCTTCATAAGCTCAGAGGCCAAGGAAAATACATATATGCAAATATTAGCAGTTATAATTTAAATAGTCATACATGATAATTAGGTATTTGAAGGTTATTTTAACTCGTCGAGTACCGGTTTTGTAGACACAATTATAGAACAATAGGTTGCGGTCACCGGTGACCGCTTGGTGTTTGACAGTTTAAGGATTAATGTCTAATTCAAATCTTTTATAAATGTTGGTGTTATAACAAAGTTGTGTATGTTTACCGGCTCGACTGGAGTGATACCACGGCCGAGCAGAAAACCGACGTGAAACAACGCTTGCGTTCTGTTTCGTCGTGTGAGTGAAGTTACTGGAGGCCTAATTACCATCCTCCCCAGCCTCCCCAATCCCCGAATCAAATTTATAATGCCCTATAGGTCGAATGGATAGGCCATACGCTCCGAACGGGTCCCGACCATATTTCAGAGCAAGCGCTGGATTGGAATCCCCAGGGAAAAAGGAAGCGTGGCCGCCCTCGGCAAACCTGGCGTCGTACTGTGATAGCAGAGGCGGCGAGCATCGGAATGACGTGGAGCGAGGTGAAGCGAGAAGCTCAAGATCGATCGAGATGGAGAATCTCTGTGAACGCCCTCTGCCCCATCTAGGGGACATAGGACTATAAGTCATAGGTCGGTAACGCACTTGTAACGCCTCTGGTGTTTCAGGTGTCCATGGGCGACGCCAATTGCTTGCAATCAGGTGATTCGTCTGCTCGTTTACCGGCTTATCCCATAAAAAAACAATTACTAGCACTAGGTTAAGTAACAGTTAAACGACTCTGAGTACAGCGGTTAAGCCCTAAGCACTAGCTTAAAATCCAAGTGCAACTTAGTACTAAGATATGGGTTTTTTTAAGGGGTGAAAATCATCGAATTCTCCCGCCTGGGTGAGGTGGGAGGGAATGTCAGACTCTTACGTACTAAAAACCACCCCGTTCCTTCTCCTGCACGTCGAACCGGAGCCTCTGTAACCCGTTAGGTTCTCCGCGACTCCGAATCGGCATCAGCCCTGTTGGGGTCCGACGGTTAAGCTTTAAACACGAGCCTAAAATGAACTGGAACTTAGTACTAAGATATGGGTATAAGATTGCTATTATAGTTTAGTCATGACTCATGCAATGTCGAAATGCATTGCATTCAAGACCTATCACGCGTTTAGAATTATCTAGGTTAAATTGTACCTTCACGCCTTTGCTTTTTAGAAGGTTTCGGTAGTCGTGGGAGTGTAGTAAAGAATTGCTTATTGTGAGGAAGAATTTCGTCTAAAAACTTGTTTTTTTTCTGAAAAGGTGACAACTTAGCTCGTTGCCAAGTATAGTATCCTGAGAAAAAGAGTCTGGATTTTATAATAAAATATTTATGAGAATATCGGCATCGCCATTATTGGAGTATGTCAGATACTGAACAAAGGTTTCCTTAATAAGGGGGTTTGCCATAATCCCTAAGCTTGGCAGTCAGCTAAGTCAGTTTAGTCACCGAAAGTTTAAAGGATGACGTTGCCCATCTGTGGTTATAAAGATTGACCATTCTATGTAAACTGGCGTATGATTTAATTAGATATATAAAAATATGTCAGCGAACTTTAAAAACTTGATTGCCTATAGGTACGCCTTTTTTTAGAAATAACAGAAAAAAAGTTTTACGTAAATACTTGTCTAAAAAACTTGTTGTCTCGAAATACTTTGGACTCGGAATCAATGTTGATACAAAGAAATCTTAATAAGCATTATAACATATATGTTAATTACTTCTAAACAATATTACCTATATTAAAAAATATATATAAAAAACTAGCTTCTGCCCGCGACTTCGTACGCGCAATCCCGTTTCCTCGTGTTCCCATAAGATTTTCAGGATTTTTCTATCATAAGATCCTTCTCCTGACAATAACAAACACAACAAAAAAATCAGCCAAATCGGTATTAGGATTAATGTTTAAATCCCAACTTATAGCAGTAACATCACCTGTACTAAAGTGGCTGGGGCTTAAAGACTATCTGTAAAATAGACCATTTATTCCGCGAAACGCGACGTTGTGACTGTCGCGCTGCTACTGAATGCACCTCATGAATGTAAGCCTGCTTGACTTGAAACTAGTCGAGTTCCTCGTCAAACAGCGAATTACGCGAATAAACTGAAAACATACCTAATAATTAATTTAGACCATGTTCATGTCGTTGTGTGTGTCAAAAAATAAAATTGTGGTACATTTTATTTGAGTACACTTTGAGTAATTAAAGATGATCTTATGTAATATGTGATCACCACAATGATAGTAAGTCACCAGAATGAAATATTAACACCAGTATTGCACTAGCGTCATCATAAAATCGCAAAAATAATTACTGCATCTCAATGTTTGCTACATCTGACACAAATGACTTGATGTGTCAATCGTGTGATGCTCTTGCGCATCTTTTAAATCACTTGACGTGACGTAAATGCGTTTACATCTAATTGGGTTCGAAAAAAGTGTTTTAATTTTGTATGTCCGGCAGCTGGAACTGACTGATAGTGAGGAGACAGATAATTTCAAATTCGATAACCATATTCTAGCATATCAAATTGTCCTAACCATTATTTATTGAAAATTTTGCAAGACGAAAAACCATTCATGTATATTCAATGTTTATGTATGAATTAGGTACTACTGCACGATTGGTACGGTGGCTGGCCAACCAGCTGCTGCGCAACGTGTCGCAGGTTCGATTTCCGCACGGAGCAACTCTTTGTGTGATCCACAAATTATTTTTCCGGGTCTAGATGTTATGTGTATCTGAACTTGTATATTTGTAAACGCACCCACGACAAGAGAAAATACTAAAATGGGGCAACGTTTTTTTTAAATATACTCCAAGACAACAATTTATCGATTTTAAAATTATCTATCTCCTCACTATCAGTCAGTTCCAGCTGCCGGACATAAGCCTCTCCAATAGCAAGCCATTGAACTCGTTTTTCCACATTGTCGTCTTCAATTGTCTCTATAGGTCTCCTTTGGTTTAGTTAACCAAAATCAATCATTCAATTTAGTAGATTAGAATGTTAAACTTCTAAACATGAGTACAACTAATGTATCACAATATAATCGACCATTGTTTAAATAACATTCTTAAATAGGAAGTCCCTTTGAATACTGAGAACATAAATGAAATAAAACAATAGATATATACATAGGTATAATTATATCGATATCAACGTAGCTGAAGACATGTGTAAATTAAAGTAGTGACCTAGTGAATAGGGATGATCACAGTGTA